TGTTGAATGCAGAACGGGTGGACAAATACGATGAGCGTAAGTGGAATTGTGAGGTTCGGATCGGGCTCTCTCTCTAGGGATTTATTCGTTCTCCACCGTGAGTGCAAAGTCCTCATCATTGTAGATATTTTCCGCCTACAAAGAGCCATAAGTAACAAAATGAACAAGAAATACTGGTTGGTCTGACTATCAGTCTGCAAAACGGTTCATCTTTCATTACAAAGAAACCTTAGAAAAACAACAAAGGCAAAGCACAAATCACTTCGTCGGTAGTTCTCTTCAACGCACACAACTGCCGATAAACTCACCGATTAAAAAACAATGAACAACAAAAGGGTGTATTAGGAACTGTGAACATGGAAACGGGGTCTTAAAGTTTATCTGGCAATGACCGTCCCGATTAACTGTCTACATACATACACACACCAAGTGCTGTCATGTGGATAGAGCTTTGACCTATCGAGGGCTGCGAGTGTGAATCCCTAAAGGAATGGATTGGTCCACATTGACGTATCGCACAAACAAGCAACTCGTCATTCTAGTTATATGGACGATAGTAACATGATGTCTCATGATAACGGGCGTTTTTATCGTTCATTTTATTTCTTTTTATTGAATATATCATGATACAATGTTCAGAAAAGAATAAGCGGTCAATCAAACGATTGTCATACAACACGCAAGGAATGGGAGAAATTAAGCTGTGATCGTGGAATTTAAACAGGTTCTCCGGGGCGATAAGCTGGTGACCTTTACCGGTTTGAATAATCAAGACTGTAAAGTCCCATGATGAGAGATGCACCATGGTACAGTCTGTTATCGAATGCATGAGTTAAAAAAACACGATTAGTGGTTAGATTTATAAAAACTGGTAATATTAACCAGAGGATTAACAGGCCAACTGTGACTACCTTACTTTATTTTAGTAACAATGACAGATCAAAAGTCGGTTTCAGTAGGAATACAATTTTGCAGTGATCAAGGCCGAAAGAGATCCTTTCATTGTTCAACTGGATCTCGCTGTAACAGCAGACTTACCGGGTGTTTATTGGTAGGATATAGACAGATTTATGCGATCGCGTGATGAATTTTAGACGCTAATAATGTCCAGACGTTAATGCAGAAGTGAGGGGGGTATCACTGCAGTACAACCCGTCGCTTACCATTTGCCATACTTGCAGGATATTGTCCTCGGATACAGAACATATGACCCAGGCGTCATTTGGATTCCATGAGAAATCAGAGATTTTTGCGGTATGACCACCGTGAATAAAGAGGAGCTCCGGTGGTCCGTCTTCCGCATCTTCCGCAGACTGTTCTTCACCGATTTTGCTCAAATCCCACACGTGTAGACGTCGATCGGTTCCCGAACTGGCTAGGATGGTTTCGTGATGAGGTGACCATTGAACCTGAGCGGAATGAGAATTCACAAAACAGGGTATTTGACAAATGGAAAAAACGTCAAAAAAGGTCGAAAACACGTACAGCTGACTGCAACTCGGAATGTGACATCATCGAGTATCATCGTACCAACCAGTCAAGCTGTTTTGAAATCGATATGGTGACCATAATTCAATAGGGAAGGCGGATATCTGAAAATGAAAGCTATTCATACGCATAGCTAAGCAGCGCAGTAATACTCGCCCATTTCATTTCGGTAGGGGTGTTTTCCCACCAAAGTGAGAGGACGAAAAGCCGATATCCCGGGTTTTAACCGGGTTAGTGGACCACTGGCAGTCCACCTAGGGGAGTTGGCCAAAAACCCTGATTCCAAACCAACCAAAAAGAGGCGTACGAATCACACCCACATCTTTTCGGTTGTGGCAGTGGTCACCGGTTCGATCGGGCATTGAGGTATATTGGGCACCTTGGACGTCTGACCCCGTCCGTAGGGCATATGATCCGATGAACTGGACACCGGCTTCCAATAGACTGCGGTTTTCACACGCCGCCCCGCTGCCTTGCGGCTAGCCGAAGGCTCCGGTTGTGGATTCCTCAAGAAACTTCACCTGCCTTGGCCTGGGCAACCTGGCAGTACTCAGCCCACAAGTCAATCACGGAACGTTTTCTTTTTTGTAAAGATTATTGTACCACGATTTTCTTGGCACACAGTTTGTCCTCAGACAAGTGTGAAATATAATAATATAATAATAAGTGGGTTAGATGCTACTAACCGCAACAAAAGTGATTTGGTAGTCTTTATAGAATAATTCATAATAAGTGGTATGTGAATGACTGGACAAAATTTTCCTGGTACAAGTATATGGATGAACTGACAAAAGATTGCCGGATACGCATGTTTGACGAGCGGCAAGAACCGCGAAACCGGTCTTGTGCTTCCAGGGAAGTTTTGTCTAGTCATTCACATATCAATTATTATGAATTATTATATAAAGACTTTCGAGTCACGTTTGTTACGGTTAGTAGCATCTAACCCACTTACAAAAACAATGAATCATTGCATTCATTCTTCAATGGACTGGCTCTGAAAGAGCTGTCTATTCAAACGTCACCCGGTGATGCAAACAACGCTTTTGTGGTGAATATATATATATATATATATATATATATATAAA